ATTTATATGAATAAATAACACTTATTCCATCACTAATGCAGAGAAAGACCTAGGATTCCCATTCTGCCGAGCCATGAGCCAGAGTCTGAATAAGATCAATTTGTCTTCCGTCTCTGTAACCATAACCAACCATATACAATGTTGTTTCGACCTTTTAACCAATTATCAGTACGGTACGGGTTTAGTTAGTGGAGATTCGCTCCGGTACAGAATATGGAAACTTAGCATTATTAATCTTAACTTGCGCACTTCACTGACAATATTCCCGACCTAAAGCTCATTTGGATAGAATTGAATGTTCATGTACCTACATAATCATACGTACATGGTATGTAATAAGCGATAATCTGAGTGAAAAATAAAAAGTATGCAAACTGCTGTTAACACATGAGTTATAATTTTTGTAAAAGCATAATACATATGGCATATAAATGATATTTACATTGTTTATTGCTATTACACAATAATCCGTATATCCAACATATGTGCTCATGAATTCCACCAAGGTCGTTAGTTGCTCTTACGCAAGTATTTCGTTATTTAGTTCTCTCACATTGATAAGATACTGAATCAGGATTATTTCCTGTACAATAATCTAATTGTTATGATATATTTTATTGATTTTGGCTTCTGTGAGTAGCTTTGCCATCGTAAGAATATATCTACGAATTCGCCAGAAATACAAGTGATTAGTTAGAATACTTGGCGGAAAAACATGAATTAAAGTATGCATATATGTAGGCACCGTCTATAAAAAGATCGGCAGGGGTATTACGTAACTTCAAAAGTGACAATTTTACGTCGTTTTTTTGACATTATGTAGGGTTTTCTTCATGATGTCAACATGGAACTAGCTGTCATTCACTTCACAACCTTGTTTTGAAGTAGATATTTAGAAACTTTCGAAGAAAATGACAGAAATACGAGGGCCATTGCTAAAGTAAGAACCTATTGCGCATCGTGCCCGCGCATCATGTCACTTGACGTCCGTTCAACCTCAGACACCTCTTGGCTAATCTTTCTTTACGCCTTCATTACGTTTCAAGTCTCTGTCGGTGTTGGTTGTGTAGTTATACTGATTTGTTTGTCGCTATGCCAATCACTAAGTCTGCCGATTGTAGTTAGGTTTTTAAACGCAAAAAAAAGTCCCCACTATTAACCGCCGCCGGGGACTGCTCTCTAGCAGCGTCGTTCTGCTTCACGACAATGCTCAGCCTCACGTTGTGGCAAGAACACAGACGCAACTGGACAAATTTCGTTGAGAATCCACTGACAGCACCATCAGACTGTGAATGATGACATATTGAAAGAAACAGCTACTAACGTTTAATGGCCAAGTGGCAACGTTCTTTGATGAAGGAATTCAAAAGATAGCGCCATGACTTGACACATGTTTAAAGGTTGATGGTGACTATGTTGAAAAATGAAAAAATGTTCATATTTTTCTTTGTGATACAATTTACACTTATAGATAAAGTTTCTTGGACTCCATTACTAAACGGTTCTTACTTAAAAAAGACCGTATCTCAGTTTCGACATTCGGCATTTAATTGTAGTTAATGTCTTGTCCAAGTTCATGATTTACTTATTCAAGGTTTTCAGTAACAGTGGCATAAAATGAAGATTAAGTTAATTTTTCAACAGTTTCTGCGTTTTATTTGTTGTTCGGTGATTCAGAAAAAATAAATTGGAGAGATGTAATAACAAAAATGTTTTGCAAAAACAGAAATCGAAAGACAACCGTGAAGCAATCGTGTTGAAAGCAATAAATTGAGATGAAAGATATTTGAGAGGTTATTTTTGTGAGGTATTGAAAGACTTCCAGTAAATATACTCGTAAACTACGATTTTCTCAGAATTTTTTCGATTTAAGTGTGGGTAATGGAGTATCTAAACAAACAACATTTGTGGCCCGGCTATGTATCTCGGATATAACAGCTATACCTCGACTATATCATGGCAATATTGTTTGTAATAAATAGACACATGCTTGGTCAGAATGTTTCATCAGACGGCCAACAAAATAATTCAAGAATGATTAACGAATATGTACGCATCGGGGCAGCTTATATTACTTACATTAAGTAGGATTCCAATAATTTGAAATCGTACTACATGCAAATAGGTCGGAAATATCAAAAAGTATGGTCGGGCTAGAAAAATACTGCATGTTAAGAAGAGCCATAGCATTTCACCAGTTCTCATTTTAAAACATTTTTCTAGATTGTTACCTTGAAAGTGGATTCAAAACACATCTAGATCCCCGTTTACGAGGAAGTGGTATCAATAATTTCTGGGTTTATGGTATAGGAATGTTTGGTTATTGAGTTACGCTAGCATAACAAAAATAAAGTATCTTGTTTTATTTGATCCCCTGTGCCAAATCTTTACACAGGTTTTGAAAAATCTCCGTCGTAAATTTTCTTATGATATTTACTACTGACTCAAATCATTCGGAAATATGTTTAAACAATATTGGCAAAGCTTCAAAGTCGTTGGAATTTACAAGTTATCGTTGTCGTAAAAACCTGAAAAGCCTTTTTGTATTTACTCGAAATGCGAGCTGTATTTAATATTTAAGAAACAAATAAGTTCCGCATTTATTAGGAAGACACGTGGATTTATATGAGATACTTACTTAGGTATGTATTCTAGAGTAATTGTTGTATTCAAAGTTAAGCGTACCGTTTTTTAATAAGTTCTATGAGGATGGTTGTCGTTAGAATGATTCAGAATTATTGTAAAAAATCATGAAAATAATTTGCGGTAGCGGTATATTGTGGTCAATGTACTTACTGTCTCAAAGATTGAACGACATACAAGTTCATTCTCCTGAAATCACCGTGGCATTTGATATTTCCAATAACAATTTGTCTGTTGATTTCACGGGAAAAATGAATTCGTTCCATCGATTTTTTACAGTTATTACAAGAATAAAGCGTACAGAGTAACCAACGATTCGCAGACTCTTCGGGCTTGGTACCAAAAATTTTCCATGTGTAGTCCACACTGGAAGCGAAATCATCCTTTATCCTTATGATTTATATCTATCAATACTCTACGTTACTATTAGTTGTCTCGTTCAACTGCATATTACGAACGATTTCCCATTGGTGGTTTGCGAAGTGAACATACTTATTTTAGCACGCTTTTATGATTAACAGTAAGTAGTGCTCGACTTAGCATGCAATTTAGAAAAAACGCGTAAATGAATGAACTGTGTAGAAACCAAGTTGATTAACTACATTAGGCTATAGGTATGAGCTTAAAGGAGTTTCTCAAAGCTTTACGGCTCATAAACGTATAGTACGTAGGTTTGGATTATTTGATATACCTAATGTTAAATTTAGACAAGAATGGATGTGGGAGGCATTGAAGATAATGAAGGCGAATCCTGAATACTAATGTTCATCGTTGATATAACGACTATTGGTTATGTTAAGAGAAATGGATCTCAGAAACAATCACGGGTTAAGTTATGCATTCAGGTTGGCTGCCAGTGGCGTAGGTTGCTCCTCAGAGGCCCTATATCAAAATTTGAAGGGGTGGGCGCACCCAACTAAGGCGAATCCCAAATTAAGGGTAACATTTGAAGTATAGATTTTTTTATAAAAGAAACAAAATGAATTGCCACGCACTGACCATGGGCGCCCGTAGGAAGTTTCCTCAGTCAGATGGGGTGGATCTATCTGTAAGTGTACCTACTATCAGATGTTTTTGAAGAGCGAGTGGTATCAGAGTAGGTAGTAGATAATGTAAATGCGAAAATTCTAGAAATTCAGATAAGTTTGTTGTATGATTTACAAATTTCTGAACATTTTTAAGGGTAATCAAACGTATTTGTGGAGAAGTTAAAATTTATAAAAAAAATCGAAAATTTTCAATCATCGTCTCTGATTGCTTCAGGTTAGTGTTTCAAAATGTTCAGCTTAGACACTACTAAGCTTGATAGTCAAAGTTGCCTCATAGAAGTTTTGTTTAATTATTTTGATTTCAGAAAGTTTCTTTCAGCTGTTGCAATTGTGATCTAGATTCTAGAAGGTTAAAAATAGGAAGCCTGCTAGGACCTACTATCACCTTGCCGTACAATGTACGGTTTAGCGCTTTTATTTATCGTACGGCCAAAAACTTGTGTGAGACTGAAAGACATTTTATCCATATTTTTGGTAGCGGTAGCTACGACTCTGTTGGTTGCCTTAAATGATACACGAAACAATAAATAAAACGATAACATGGTAACGAAAAGCGATAAACTAAGTCACCTCAGAAATAAAGAGTATTTGAATTGGAAACCAAAGCTAAAAATGTTTGTTTCTTACAAATGAAACTGCTGCGCAAATTTTCTTTTATAGTTGTATGCTGGATAACACGAACGGAAGAGAAGACGGCAAGGTCTTTTTCTAACATTTTTTAAGTCAAAACTTTTTCACCAAGCTGCATCTACCTGTACTCTGATGGTCGGTGTTCTCCATGAGAAGGTAAATCATTATTTTTGAACGAAATGTTAGTTCAATCGCTAACTTACAGAAAACATTAGTTTTTGTTATTTTCGGAATTGCGTTCCCACAGGTTAGTAGCGTATCTGAGCTATAGTGATAGAAGTTTTCGATCGTACCTATTTTTCGAAAATAAATTTCTTGAGGTTCTTTTATGCCAATAATTAAATTACTTATGCTAATCGCTGACCATTTTTGAGAAAAATAAATGTGCTTTCACCGCACTAATGCCGCATACCATATTTTCTGCAACGCTTCTACCCACAAAGACGTGTATGTACCGCACAGTTTGCGCTATAACGAGTTTAGGTAGGATAAGAGTATGAAGTACCCTTCCAAGGCGCTGTTACCGTCCTTTAGCTACAATTACGCGTACTTTGGATATTAACAAGCTTCTCAGTTTTCACCGAACTCCATTCATCATACAATCCCACTTCTGATCAAACTCAAAATTGAGATGGAAGAGTTAACTTCGATGGTGAATTAGCTAGATAACAAACCTACCTCTCTTGGTATATCCTTCCGACACGATCCCGCAAAAGCAAAGTACAAGCACTAAAAGCTTCACTTCCATATTCATGTTTCACTATAGAATAAAAAATCCACAAAAGATAATCCAACTGGTAGGTAAACCTAAATGCTAAAATCACAGTCACTGAGTCAGGGCTTTCGGCTTTCACCGCTCGCACTTACGTCGCGTTCTTTACCGCACTGTACCCCAAAGTCACCGGCCGCGGCTTATTCCATTGGCGCGTTCTCGATGCGTGTAACCGGCGAGCGACAAAGAAGAGTGCTTCACCTGGTGGATAATGGATCTTGCGGAACACTCGATGGTGACTGAGAGCGCGCCAGGAAGGAGCGCGCCGCGACGCGAGGATCGCGACCCGCCAGCAACCGCCGCGGAGTGAAGCGACGCCCCACCACTGACAGTGACGTGCCACCTGGTGGGCAAAAGGTGTAATTATTTTGTATATTCTTCATTTTTTCTACGGGAGTGACCGATGCACCGTGGTTCAAAAGGCCTAAAACGTGATTCTGCTTTCACGAAATATAAAACTAGTAAATCAACAGTTGATTTTGAGAGATTCAAGCAACTGCGAAATGGAGCGTAAAATTCGAAAAAAAGAAACACTACATTTAAAAACTAACTGACCAAAATAAGTCGAAAGCTTTATGGTCCAGATTGAGCAAGCAAAATATAAAATCTAGCTCAACGCCAGCAATACCAGTTGAACCAGCTGACGCTAGTAGCATAAACAATTATTTTATGTCCGTGTATAGCTTTGACAGTCCTTCAGAAAATGTATGTAGGTTCTAAGACAGCAACAAATTGGACAGCCGAAATTGCTTTCGGTTCCGTGTTGCCCAGCCATCGGAAATATTACCTATAAGCTTTTTATCCGTGCTTCTAAAAATCCTAGAAAAAAGAATACTGCAACAAGCTATTCAATACATAGAAGAATACGAGGGATGTCTTTTAAGTTTTGCATATTCGTAGAAACATAGTAGGCCGCGCGGATCGAACGTTAGTACTGAATCTTAACCTCACTCTTTAGTAAACTTAAATTCAAAGTTTCACAACAATACGTGCAGTGTTCTCACTACAGTGAATTTTTAAGTGTCACCAAGTCATTAGAAAAATGGAACTCAACCGAGAACATTTTCGCGTCATAATTTATTACAACTTTCAGAGACAATTATTATAATTGCTGAGTTACTGTCTGTTTTCGGCAACGAAGCACAATATCAGTCGACAATTTCCCGTTGGTATGGAGAATTCAAACGTGAACGTGTGAGTCTTAGCGCCGTTCCTAGGGTGGGTGCACCAAAAACGGCAGTCACCCAGGAAAACGTCGATGCTGCGCTCAAACTCATCATTGAAGAATTAGGAGTAAAAAAAATAGTTTTTCGTTGGATACCCCACCTGTTGACTGAAGAGCAGAAAGCAGCCAGGCCTAATAATTGGTGTCAAAAAACGGTTGACCGTTTCAAATCCGGCAACTCAAAAAATGTGAACAGCATTGTTAGTGGTAATGAATCGTGGATTTACTGTTACGAACCAGAAAATAAACGACAGTCGGCTGTTTGGGTGTTCCAAGGGGAAGAAAAGCCAACAAAAGTCATCCATTCTCGAAGTGTTTCGAAAAAGATGGTCGCGACATTTGTGTCAAAAGCGGGTCATATTGCAACAATTCCTCATAATGAGCAAAGAACTGTTACTGCGGATTGGTATACCACCATTTGTTTGCCAAAAGTCATCACCGAGCTTCGAAAAATCAACCCCGAAAGAAGAATCATCCTCCACCAAGACAATGCAAGCTCGCACACAGCCCAAAGACAAGGCAGTATTTAAAGGAAGAAAACGTGAAATTATTGGGCCATCCTCCATATAGTCCCGATCTAAGTCCTAACGATTTCTTTACTTTCTAGAAAATTAAAAATGGACTGCGTGGTCAAAGGTGGAGAATACCTCGAAAAACAATAATGTCGTTTAAAACTACATATCGTGTTGTTTTATTTCCATATGCAAAACTTAAAAGACATCCCTCGTATAAAATAATATCTTATGTCCGTCGGGTTTCAGGAAGCACTATAGCACCACTTCAGCTTTCTTAGATCTTTGTCATAATGTTAGTCGGACACTGAACAAAAAGCATTCGACCGAATTAATCATAAACTCTTATGAAGTACACAGGCTTTGGTGATAATGCAGTGGGTTTCTTTCACAGCTATTTGTCAAGTCGCATTGTGTCAGTATTAATAACCTACAGTCTGATATCACGATAATATACTTTCAGGTGTTTCTGAAGGTTTAGGTAATTCACAAGTTCAAACATTCGTTGATGTCACGCAAATAATTTATCATTTCGACAAATCAGATTTACAATATGCAGCACCTACTTTGCAAATGTATTTAGATATGGTAAATCAATTTTCTGTAGATCTTAATCTCGCTGTTAATCCATATTAAATGCAGGTAATACTGTTTTGCTCTCACCATAAGAGAAGAAACGATGAAGACTTTTCCTATTAACTCTTGGGTATTGACATTGACAGCGCTTTATGATTCTGGAACCTTACAGCTAGTTTAATGAAAAAAACATATCCTCCATCTAGACCCCTTCATTCTATTCGAGGCTTGTTCAACAAGTTGAGAAAAATACTCTGTGAATGGTTGGTGATGTCAAGACTCAGCTACTGTGATGTTGTTTAGTACCCATGTCTGACGAAAAACCGGCTCCAAATCATTCAAAATAACTGCGTTTGCATTATTTGTGGCCTATGAAGATATGATCACATTAGTGAAATAAATAAGGAATTAAATTGGCTTAGGTTAGGTAGTCTAGTAGTCTTAGTTCACAAAATTCTCATACCATCGAAACCTAAATACCTAAGAAGTAAACTACGATTCAACTATGAAGTGCATGATAGTGCTGTCAGAGATCGCTATAATATCAGAACCGCCCCACACAATTCTGCTTTGTTCCAATGTGGTTTTTCATATAATGCAGCATTATTCTATGTATAATCACTTGGAAAATAGCTTAAGATCAATGTCCGAGTCAGTGGCGTAGCAAGGGGGGCAACGGGGGCGGGCCGCACCGGGTGTCACTTTTTTGGGGTGAACTCCAAACAGGATCAAAGTCTCTTCAAGACATAAATTCATTGTAAAAGATCGTACAAACAAATACTTTGCTTTTGGCGAATACTGAAGAAACGAAATTAGTTACATCCAAATTTACTGACTTCATGATGATGTATCAGAAACAGAATTACTTTTGGAGATATCAAGACTGCGAAGACTCTTACAAGCAGCTAATGTTACAGTTTCTGATTGGGTATCTCTAGATTTTTTAAAGTTTATTGTAAAATGGGATTTTACAGAATCTCTTCTAAATCTTATGATTGCACTAAAATTGTTCATGGGTGTCCGTAACTTCATGTGAAAGGAGTTTCAGTAAGCTGATATTAATAAAAAAACTATTTGCGAGCAACATTGACCCCAATCTTGGTATATTAGCCATCGAACACGAGCCAATACAAAATATAAATTTTGATGAAGTTATTTCTGATTTTGCAGCTGTCAAAGCTATAAAGAAGAGATTTTAGTTGTAAGATAAAAATAATTTTTCTGTCTTTGTTTTTATTGTGTTTTGTTATTTGTTTAATATTTTAAGTATGAATATTAAATGATCCATGACGTTCATAAATCATAAAAAATTTATTGCTTTTGACTTTCGATGGGGTGACTGCACAAACTTCCGCACCGAGTGCCACCCAAGGTAGCTACGCCGCTGGTGTAAGTGTAAGAGTAGCCTTGGCTAAACTTCGCTGCTTTGGTCTCTCTCATATCTTCCCCACAAAAATCCTCCAAAACATTATGTATCCTAAAAATTACCCAAGTAAAGTAAAAATCCCACAAATTGGGTGGAAAATCCCCGAATAAGGCAACCCTGAGTGTGACATCTTTTTTAATACGGCGAGATATATGCGGACCGACAAAAGCACGCCGCGCCAGGAGTAGCGTGCGATGTATGCGGCTCTCTTCGGTTTCGGTACAAGACGAAAGAAAGATTGACTAAATTTCATCAAAAAGCTTAAATTTTCTTCCGTTGGTCGGACGAAAGCAGAACGTTTAAGGTAAATCCTCTAAGAAAAGAGTTAGTTACGAATATGTATGACAGAGAAATTCAACGGATCAAGTCCGTCAAACAGGTCCGTACAACTAGTTCATAACATTCTTTCCCTATCCTACCCGTAGTACCGTCCATCTGGCAACGTTGCGTCACCTCTGCCCAATGTCTGAAAGCATCTTGTGTCAGACTCGACAGAGTGCCCACAGAGCACCAGTTATACAGCAAACTTATTTGTATATCTAGGTGAAGAACATTTTCATTTATTCTCAAGAATATATTTTCTTTTCCTGAAATTCTAGAGATTCTGGTCTATTAGAATGTTTGAAATTTGGTTCAACAAGATAGTTTTAACTTCTTCGAAATAAGTCGATTGTGAGCAAACCGAATGCATTCACTATATCACTGTAATGAGGATATTGTGTAATCTGATCACCTAAGCGAGAGTTTTCTTACACGCACAACAAGACCCATAAAAATAACATAAAGGACAACAGGCATATACTTTCCGTATTAAACAGCATTTTACAGTTACTAAAAATACGTATAGCAGAGCCACGTACTACACACATAAAATGAAGATTTATGAAATGCCAATGGAAATAATAGGTCAAAGTACCCATTAAATTGTATCTAAATAATAAATATGTCATTTTGTTTTACTTCCCACGCAAAGATTATATGTTAGTTTTATTGCTTTAAGGGCCGCTAAAACCATTATCTTGGATATTATTCGTGTATCATCGTATCACACTGTGTAATCTAATATTTATAATCGAATCGAAAGGATTTCAGTGTGACCCTTTAAAATGAGCTATTTGCTTCTTTACTTCAAGCAGCTAATCTGTACGTCCTTATCTGGACATATTAATGCAAATCCAGGAAAAACTATTTTCAGTACCGTAATTTCTAACGGTACCGTCGATGAAGCAGTGCTGAAACAAATTACCTTAAAGAAAGATCACCCTGTCGATGACCAGGCTACATTGTTCTTGGGAAAGGGGCAGCCATTGATATGCAGGGTGTACAAATTATCTCTGTATTACGGTATGGTTAGTTGTTCCCTGCCAAAGTCAGTATACATGATTATTGGTTACTATGCTACTTAAGAATTGTTAAATTTTGATTCAAAACTTTGTAAAAAGCAATTTGGTCTCGTATCTATGTACTATAACAGCTTCGGATATTTTTATAGGAACTTGTCACATAATTTTGCGTATTACTCAAAAATATATATACGTAGAACACGCCATACGTTTTGTCCTATAACAAATACAAATACAAATACTAGGTTACGTTTAAAGTACCCCAAGAAGTACAAAGTACAAACGTTGAAACGTTCACG